GGGTCGTCCTCTTGAGTGCGCCCTCAAGTGCAGAAGTAGAACTTGAGATCAGACTGTTGAAATTACAAAAGCTGCAGGAGCAGACATACTTCCACTAACCCATATCAAATTCGGAGAACCAGCTGCGGGAGCAGGAGATTGTCCCAACGCAAGGAAGCCGGTCTGTTATAGTGACAATTTTAAAGGGGGCTAACGTTCGGAATGCGGCAGTCATAGAGGGACCAGTCTGATCTCAAGTGCCTATTAGTTATTTGCCTGTCTGGCTAGCCGAAAAACCCCCACCTGGTGCCAGTTGGGTGATTCGGGTTAATCCCATTCCAACAAATGGTTTCGCGGCAAGCGTTCTCCCTATAAAATGCCACAAAATCTGTTTAACACTGTGGCGTAGCGTACGTGACTCGCCACTTAATAAAGTCACTGTTGCTTCTATGTGCGGAAAATCTTCAGCACTTTACGAACGTCACCCACTTCAAAGGGTTTCCTTGATCAATTCCTGCGTTGACGAAACCATCGGACAAAATCACAAATACAGCGTCACAATAACAAACGCACTTACACATACCTACATAAATACAAAGACGTCACTGATTAACTCGTAACTATTTTCCAATTACCGATCATACGTGTTTTTGTTATCAAGAACAGGCGCGGCTCGCACTGAGGAGAATGAGACATGTTTATGTAACTATTTAACTGGCACCCGTGAAAGTCAAACTCGAGGAGACGTATTGAATACATCTTTGTATAATGTCAGTTGTTGGAGCACCGCCATATTTATTGGTAACTCACCGTAGTCATGTTGCTAGATTTGGGGAATTGATTTGCTCTTTGGGGCTAACTGCTCCGGAATGGTGTGTCCGAGAAACAAGCAATATCAAAGTGCTTTACGCAGGTATTTCGTGCAGAGTGACGGTCTATGGAAAACTGTCGCCACATCTCAATATCTGCATCTGGGTGTGAAGGGGGTGCTCAATGTCACTTCTCCTTTCCAAATGCGCCACTGGAGAAACCTTGGAAAAATCGTGCATTGAACACAAGCTGAAAGGTGTGCAACTGCTTCTGAGTGGTCAGCTTCTTGACATGGAGTATGCAGTGAATATTGCTCTAATCAGCGACAGCTCACAAACGTTCCAAATGGCATCAGATAAATTAGCAGTGGTTTTCAATCGGATCGGGCTTTGTTTTGCGCTTGCAAAATGTAAAGCTTTCCTGCAAGATTGGCAGGGACCGCCCCTTTCACTGACCCCTGGTGGTAATCGACTAAAAGTCACACAGAAATTCAACTGCTTTGCCAGTTGTAGCAGCTCCTGCAGAACATGAGATGTAGTAACAGACTGAATAGCCAAAGCTAGAAGCGATTTTGCTTAACTTCGTCTAATATGGGACCAATACACCACTATAGCCTTGAAGGGTAGGGTGTACAGTGTAGCCGTTCGTACAACCTTAAAGTACGGTTGCGAAACCTGGTCTATCAGGTCGACAGACATAAAGAGGATAGTTGCGTTCCACCACCGGTGCCTTCGCAGTTTGGCTCTCATCTGGTGGGAATACCGCGTGAACAATGAGCGTCGTTGGTGCCTGGTATTTAGTGCAGGAATAGCGAGTGAACTGCTCAGCACCGTTATTGTACGCACTACGCTAGGATAGATTGGTCGTGTGTTACATATGCCGACACATCGACTCCAGCGACTGGCGTTGCGTGCAACACCGGGACCTGGATGAAAGAAAAGGAGGAAGCCAACCGATAACTTAGCTAAGAGGAATAAGGTCTCTCACTTCAAAGTTGGCCTCGGTTAGAGCCTCTTGACTTCTTGGTTGGTACCCGAAACACGGGAACACATTTAGTTGGATACACTTGTTGCAATTGCGAAGAACCGACCTCAGTGGCGTTTGTGTTGTAAGTTTCTTTGCCCATCCCCATCTCGCTTAGCCTCCCCTCCAACCTCACTGTTGATGCATAACAGTTGAAAAGCATAATATTGCTTGTTTCTGTTGTGAACGTTTTATCACTTATTATTGGGCTTTCATTATTCAAATAGGTCTAGACTGAGGATTACGATGACTTCAGATGAAGTGGCCAAAACAGTCACACTTGGCCAGTTCGATGTTAAAACTGGAGTAAAAATTGCAAATGATGCACACTTAAGGCAACAGACTGAGTGTGATGAATCCTTTACACTGTCACTAAAATGAATAGATTAAACCTAATCCCCTAGTTTCTTATAAGATAGGTCATCAGTATAATCATCAACATACGTTGGTAGAGGGAGAGAAACACACCTCAGCAGTGCCGCAATACAAAAATAATCCAGCACAAAAATTCAAAAAGCAGGTAACTTAAGGTTAAATATGGTATCACATTAAATATGAGATCGTGATTGGAAAGAGAATTTATAGGAGAGCGGGATGGACAAAGAAACTCACAATCCGAACGCCACTGGGCCAGCTCTTCGCCATACCAACAAGTGTTCCAGGACGTGGTGGGTTTTCGCCTGGCAAGCGTTCTCCCTATAAAAAGCCACATATGTCCTTTTAACAACACTGTGACGTGGCGGACGTGACTCGCCACTAAATAAAGTCACTGCCCCTTGCTTCATCCTGGCGAAGTATTGTATTCCAGCAACATCATGCTCTACTTCTGGGGAGCATTGGGCCCCTGTTTGACAAAGGAACAAACGAAAGGCGTATGAACTGAGCAATCAGTCACCGGCTCCCAATGGGCGCGATTCCCTGAATTCGCTCCGCTGCCTTGCTGGCAGGCTATTCAGCCAAAGGCTCGGGGTGGTGTCCCCTAAGTCAACACCCTACTTCGGCTTGGGCAACCGGGTAGTATCTCGCCCTCTGAGGAAATCATGGACATTGTTGTGTTGTGTTTTATTTTGCTGTTTCTGTACCTTCGTTTGAATCCCATGGTTTCTGATGGCATTATGTCTGTTAGCAGACTTTTGCAAATATATATATATATATATATATATATATATATATACCAACAAGTGTGTTTAAACAAACGTGTTCATCGCCTTTCAGTCCCAAATCAGGGAGCCGAGAAACTCCAACCGAGGCCAACTTCGGAGTGAGGGCTTTCATTCCTCATGACCAAGTCATTACTTGGCTACCCCTCTTCTTCCATCCAAAACCCTGGCGAACAAACAGCACACGACGCGGGAAGCGGTGTGTTGGCATGCGCCACAGGTGGCCCAGCCGTCGGAGCCTGGTGCATGACATAATGGTACTGAGCGGTTCGCTCGCACTTTCTGCAGCAAATACGTGACGCCGAACATATCAGTTGTTCACGTGGTGTTTACCCCAAACATGAGCCAAGCTGCGAAGGCAGGGATGGTCGAACATAGCTACTTTACGTCTGTCGACCAGATTGGCCAGGTTTCACAATCATATAAGAGGGTTGAACGGATGGCTGCATTATAAACTCTGCCCTTCAGGGCGAGAGTGATGTCGCGACGGCGCCACATACGGCGGAGATTAGCAAAAGCACTTGGAACTCTTGCTATACGGTTTGTGACCTCATAATCGATCACATGGACGTTAATATGGCTGCTCAAGTAGTTGAATTCCTGAAGGACTTCTAGCTGATCACCATTAAGGGTCAGCGCATGGGTGATCTCTGCAAATCTAGGAGATGTACTTTGCATTTCGAGGGTGCAAAGCATGGCTCAAAACAAATGACAGCCAATGCTAATCTGTCCAGTTCTGCTTGGCACTTTGGGAGCTGTTACATATGAGGGCAATGTCGTTCGCATGCCGCTCATTAGAAAGTAGCTCCACACCTTGTAGGTTGTGTCCAGCGAATGCTGTCTCCATGAACTTGTCGGGGCCACTTGTCTCACACCGCTGAAGACAGTGAACGGCGGTGGCAGTTTGCCGAAACCTCTTACTCTGTCCGAACTAAACATGTACAGCGCGCTGATAATGTTTACATAGTTATCAGGTACACCTTTCCTCAACAGAGTCTTAAAGGACACATCGATGCACCAAGAAACACGACAATGGCCGGTCACCGATAAAAATTGCCGTGCTCCAACGATTGACGTAAAGTAAAGATGTGATCAGTGCAACCTCGATTTCGACGAAACCCGGCTTGCTCCTCACCAATCTGATTATCACGAGTGCCAGTCAGCCTGTGGACAGACACAAGCAATTTGGAAACAATTGAGACAAGACGGATCCCCTATGACTGCCGCATTCCGAACGGGTGCCACCGCGGAAATTTGGGACAATGACGGAGCGGCTCCAGTCTGCTGGTGCAGTCTCCTGTTCTCATAGTCTCAATCGGGTAACTTCTCTACAACAGCAAGTCCTCTGAATTTAAAGAGGGCTGGGGGATTCTATCAGCCCGTGCGATCTTATTCAATATCAAGTTTGATCACACAGTCGACTACTAAGCGTGACGAGTGTCCAAAAAGACGAGCCAGGACGGAGAGCAAGCAATGCCTGTAAAAGAAAGCGATATCTAAGATTGGTTGAACTGCTTTCCAAAGTGTCCTGCCCAACGCTCCAAGCATTTTGACAAGCTGTAGATCGGCTGTGCACTCTCGTCGCATATGGTCTCGCTAACACCAGGTCTCCTGCTGCCCGTTTCCCGTATCTAACGGAATAACTTACAATGGCTACCAACGGCGGCGGCTGTTTCCATTTCCGAAGCACGATGAGACCAACAGACTTCGCGGTCTCTCTCTAGGCTAGCACAGAGTTTCGCTCTGAGTGGTTTATACATATATATATATATGTATATGGCCCGTAATTTTTACCCAAGAGTTAATAGCAATCAAGCGAAGAATAAGCGTCTGCATAGAGCGCATGTACGACCAAGTGGCTACTTTGGAAAAACAAACACCGTGGTGGTACGAGCGTAAGAAATGTAAATGAATTCAAAACAAACCCACAGGACAACGGATTATACAACGATCTGCTAAAAATTTATTAATCAAGGAAACATGTCAAGGTCTTTCACACCATACAAAAACAGTCGTATTGACGCTCACCATAAGCATCGTCACCCAACTCAGTACCGATGCGAATCATTTCGTCGCCCAGTTGTTCTGCATCATTGAGTCGCTCCTTCTTCGTGTCCAAATTTTTTAGCACCATATCGCCTATTCGGGCGGCTGGAAGAAAGCATCAATGGATTAAAAGTATCAGATTACATAACAAATTATAACATGTAAAAGTTGGTAATCTAGTTTTTAAAAGGCAAAAACATAGACGTGAGTAAAAATGTAGGCCAAATCTCTGAAGGTGTGCAAATCAGACTACAAATCGCAGTTTGTGAATGGAAAATAACAGTCTTGGTGGATGCTACGAATGCAAGCAAGCCCTCCGCTGATATATACGTAATGACGTAAGCAGTTTAGTTTATGTTAGTTCACAAATCGCCGTTCAGAGGCTATCCGCTGGGAGAGTCTAGAATTGCTCTACAGCTAAAATATCTTTAACCTGAATTATCTAATCTACCTGGTGTAAGGAGCCATTGTTAACCGTATTAATAAACTCGGATGATCGAGCACAACAAAAGTAAAACGGACTATCGATATCGAGGTCGACATCAAGGAATTCGAAATAAAAGTAGTGGTGGTGAAATTGCCCAATTGCAGTAAATGACTGCGCAGAACAAGTTTAAAATGAACGCACTAAAGTGATTCTTCTCTGTCTATAGTAGGGAAATAAAGCTGCCGAGTGGGTTAGAATGGACTTTGATGTCGTGCTCCAGTATTAGCCTCTGAAAAAGTACCCTTACAGAAAGCAGCCAGAAACAAAAAAAAAGAAAAGTAGAAAGGGCGATGGTATTAGTCCAAGCAGAAGTGCGTTTGAATCATTGTAAAGCAAGCATAGAAAAAACACAAGGATGAATAGGATGCATGTGAAAAATTATGCGACCATCATCAGCAGCAGTACCATCTGTCAACCGCTTGATCATGCCAGTACTAGTGTCTTGTTTCACCGAGAATAAAACTATTTATTTATCTAGTTATTTGGAGTAATGCTTCGCTGTCGTACAGCCATCGTGACCTAATGAACGAAAAATAGAGAAGAAAGAAGAGGGACATAGCATAAAACCTCAGTGCCATAAGCAAACAATCAGGGTCAAGGCGTCTACACATTGTCAGCAACGTACTGTTACAAACAGCTATCGTGCAAACATCGGGCGAACATCGATCAAGTAGTTTATGATAAATGCAGTGAAAAGCAGCAGAGTGAGGGTTAACCTGATAAACCTATAAACGATAAGCAAAGACCTCAGTAACCTTGGGTCTGCTGGAATCTTTCGGGAGGCGTTCGGACCAAATTTCAGGTCAAGCGGATCAAGGAAAGTGTTTTACACACTCTGGACCGGTAAGTGCTCAGCGGAAACACAAGCATTCGGCAATGTAGAAAACAAAGCATGATATAAAAGCAAACCAAAGAAAGTGGATCAGTGAAGGATAAACGCAATACCCTCATAGCGTAAAATGGCTGGCTAATTCTCGGAGGAATTTGTTGGCGCCTGGTAAAAATAACGCTAGAGGAGGAATAAATGAACTGCATGCTCTTGTCCAAGTACAAATAGACTTGTACTTCGTCTGGCTGACGGAATTGACACATTCCGATAATAAATAAACACTATTTCTCGACAGCACGATACACGATCCAGGTAGTTGGTTAGATCCAATAGTACAAAAGGTCAAAATGACAGGTTGTTTTAATAAGTTGATGAATACGTAGACTGTCGAACTTGCGAGGTATACCTAGTGCTTTCTTGTAATACAAGTGTAAATCAGTATAGATTATCTCAATAATAAGTCAACATAATTGGGAAAGTGGATAAGTTAATATTTGACAGCGATACACATGCACTGTGAGGAACAGTAAATATACCATTTGCGTAAAATTAATAACCAATAGAAGGCATTGTTTGAAGACAATTAAGCATCGTACACAACTTAGACAGTCTGCAGGTAGGAGATGGCTCGTGTCCGTAAACCCGGCATACCCTGGCCTCTTGCAAAAGCTAACCTAAATGAAAACAAATAGGTCAGTAAAATACTTCTTTTTAACACCGCTACATGAGGACAAGTGTTTTGTGGTCTGACGATTACCATGATGTGCTCACCCAGTAGTAAAGTCTTGAAGAGGACTCTTATGGGGGCCTTGAATCGTCACCTTGATAATGTGATTATCCTCTCTCCCTTGCTCAGTAAGGCTTCCGGAAGGCACGCTCGTGCGCCTACAACCTGCTTGTGGCCAGAGAAAAATGGGCTAAATTGTTGGATTCTAGCAATTACCTGGACGTCGTCTTTGTCGACTTCAGGAAAGCATTAAATAAAATTCCTCACGAGCGGCTCCTCTTTAAACTCCGGGGTATTGGCATTTCTGTGGAAATTCAACCTTGGATCACGGATTTTTCGAAAGGCCGTGGTGTGCGAGTGAAGGTAAAGGAACTTTACTCCGAGACCGTTCTCATGACCAGTGGAGTTCCACAAGGCTCCGTCCTCGGTCCTGAGTTGTTCAAACTATTCATCAACGACCTTCCATCAGAGCTCCGTACGGATTGTTTGCTATATGCTGACGACTTAAACCCATGGCTTGAAATGTCCGAGCTCGAGGATGTCGACCGATTGAAAGCGAACCTTGACCGGTTGAACAGCTGGTCGCTGAAGTTGTTACTGCCCATTAATTACAAAAAGTGTTCAGTCCTCCCTTGGCGCCCCGTACCCGCTCGGTGTTTATCCCTGGTGGCTCCTTGCTCAGGAACGCTGCTTGCGAGAAGGACCTTGGTGTACTTGTGTCTCCTGAGTTAAGCAGAACCCAGGAAACCTTGAGGATAGCAGTTGCTAACAGGATGTTCTATACCATAGGGAGATCTTTTCCCGAATGATTCCGAAGTATTTCGACTTCTCTTTACTCCCCATGTGCGCCTTATCCTCGAATACGGCTCAAGCGCGGTCTATCCTCTTACAAAGGCCGAACATGTTCTCACAGAGGTAGTCCAAGGACGAGAGGAAATCGCTCTCTGCGTTCCGGAATTTGTGTTGCGAGCAGCGACTTCGAACGATGAACACGTTTTCTTGGAATTATCGTCGTCGTTGCGGTGATCTGATTTACACCAGACGTATTCTAAGAATGATTGGAAATGAATTAAAATGCTTTCAACTCAAAGTTGATAATTCGACAAGGGGTCAGGATTGGAAACTGTTTGATCCGAGGATGCTCCGAGTCTATCACGATGTCTCTTTGTGCACCGGTGTCTTGGTGAACTGGAACAATTTACCAGACCCAGTCGTCAGCGTACACAGTGAAGTGTTTCAAACGACTGTTGGATTGCAGCTGCTGAGTAAGCAAGGATGGTGCTGTTTTCGGTGCGATCGTGATGGTCCTCTATGAACGACGTATCGCAATGATCCGCACAATCCCTGCTTTAAACGGGAAGCGAAAGGGTAGACACGGAACACCTACTTCTGCTCTCCACCACTGCAATGAATAGAACGTCGATTGGAAGAACGTATGCAATAATTAAGTCTCAAACTATCCGCAGGCATATTCCTAAACTTGGAAAGTCATGACTCACAATACATATCTAGGTATACATATCAACAACCGTGCAGTGCGTGGCCGAATAATGTAGTTTTCGTAGTATGACATGATATGTTATTAGCCAACAAAAAAGGAGAATGAAATAGACTAAAATTGATTCCAGAATTTCGATAAGGCCAGTTGGAGACAAAACTTACGACCCGTTTATTAATAGCACATGTTTTCCCATTACTTAGCTGCTTGCAGAAGAATTGGCCACCGACTACAGAAAAAACATAGCATCTAGATTTCCAAGTGACATATAAACGCCTCCCTTCTGGTTTAATAACGAGATAAAAAAGTGAACCCTTAACGGGATTGTCCTACGATTCCTTTCCCAAATGAAATGTGGACTTAAAATCATTCGACTAGATTGGACGTCGCAACAGGGTAGACAAAAATATTTAAAAAATTAAGAAAAAGCTTTAGAATCGGTACCTATGCTTGGTTGAATCACAGATTGAAGTATGCTGACAAGGTTGTCCGCCCATTTTTTTCGCTTGTTGCATTCCGCTGTCAGATGTTCCACTTGAGGATCCGGTGTAGTCTTCTCCGTGATCTTAAAAGCCTCTTCGGTTTTCTGAAAGCATATAAAGAAATATTATTAGCCACCTGCAAAGTTCTGTTGAAGAACGAAGACATGTCAGACGCCACTTTATCCATCGTCGCGCTGTTACGATTAAACCAAAAGGTCGCAGTAAACAACCTCGTTAATTCCGTCCGATAAAACAACGAACAAAATGTCCAAATAAAAATAAAAAGCTACGCCCGGTTTTTAGAAACATAATAAGTAAACTTCACTTAACATTATCAAGGCTGTTACTATTAAAGCAAACAGTTGAGCAATGCTTCCTCGATTTATCTGAACAAATAATCAGTTCAGTTCAGTTCAGTTCACATGGGACTGGAATAATAGGAGAATCCCGTGAGTGTTCCAGCTTGAGTGGATCGTTGAGCCAGAAATTGATGAAGTGCTCAGTTATCGATGGATCTACAACGGAACACCCCTCTCGCACCCTGGCCAACCAGTTAATGCCCACGTTTTCTGCCCTAGCAGTCCTTGCTGTGGTAGTCACGTGAAGTAAGCAAATAAAAGGTAGAGAACTCGAACGCACAGAGTAAGGAAGTTCACTTAAATAAGAAAATGATATCAATGCGTGAAGAAAAATAGAGCAAAGAAAATCGAAATACGAAGATACGAGTTACTCAGGAAAATGGAAAGGTTTCATGTTGCCACTCAAGAGCGTCAAGTTGCCGCTCAAACCCCTCAACCGTAGATTCCCTGGTAACACTTTCCGGAAGCATGTTCTAGCAGTCGATAACTCGGCGTGACAGCCGGATTTCCGCCCTAATCCGATCGGACCGTGGTTTGTCCAGCTTCAAGGAATGACCGCGTAGAACAAACAATCTAGCGGGACTAAATAGCCAAGATAAATCTGGACCAAGCTTCCCAGTTAAGCTACGGTAGGTTAGGAGTAGGTCTCCCCTAAGCCTTCGGTAGTGCATTGAATGCGTTCCCAAACTAAGTAGACGCTCGGGGTACGTCCGTCCCCGTAATCCCTCGACTAAACTAATGCCCACTCGTATAACCCTCTCTAGCTCCATTTTGTCACGGACGAGGAAGGGCGCACAAGCCTGGACGCAGTATTCAAGATGAGGCCGAACGGAAACCGAGAACAGCCTCGTAAAGTTGCCGCCCGTCAAAGCTCCGAAAGAACATCGAATTAACCACAACATGCGGAAACCTCTGCTTGCGGCCTTCTTCCAGTTACCGCCGGAGTGTAAAGCCGAAGAGTGTAGAAAGCCTAGGTCAATCTGGCTAGACACACGGGGGAGTTCGACCTCACCGACCACGTACTTCGTTGGAGGACAACCTCCCGCAATTCGAAGAACGGATAACTTTGCCTGATTTGTGAGCAATATCCATAAAGTATACCAGTCCCAAAGCTTATCCAATGCTCGCTGAATAGCTTCGGAACCCCTAGGAACATTGACAATGTTCCACAGTTTCAGGTCATCAGCAAGTAACAGCGATGGTACCTAAAGCTCTGCGGGTAGGTCATTCACATAGATAGAGAACAGCAGCGGTCCAAGGACCGAGCCCTGCGGCACGCCACTGAGGACAGACTGCCTAAACTTTAGGCCACGGCCTACCCGTACACACTGTTCTCTACCCTGCAAGAAGGCAGTCACCCAATGAAGGGCGCGGCCAGATACCCCGTTGGAGGACAGATTTTGCGCGAGCCTCAAATGGGGTACCTTGTCAAATGCTTTCGAAAAGTCGACGAAAAGCACGTACAGCGCGTGGCCGTTATCCAATGCATTGGTCCAACTTTCGCGAGCCACCAGTAGATTCGTCAGGCACAAAATTCCCTTCCGGAATCCGAGTTGCACATTGCTAAATAGATTAAATCTACTCAGATAAATCGCTCACCAGTTTCTCGAGGAGTTTGACTACTACACTCGTCAGACTAACTGGTCGGTAATTTGCAGGCAGGCCCCTGTCCCCATTTTGTAGATTGGACAGCTGACAGCTTCCTTCCATTTGGAAGGCAACGCACAGCTGCCAAGCGATTTCTGAAACACATTAGCAAGCGGTCCACTTAGTTCCACAGCCAACTCATGCAACAGTTTTGGGTGAATTAAATCAAGCCCAGAGGTCTTAGAAGGGTTCAGCCCTTCTAACAGCCTACGAACTTCGTCTCCACTACAATGAATTCAGATAGTTCTGAACCCTCCGGGGTCCTGCAAACCAGCTGCACGCTTGTCAAAGAGGTTTCCCTTACAAACGCTGCCGCATATTGCCCACTGAGTACGCAGGACTTGTCATAGTCCGTATGCGCATGAGTACCATCATCACGCATCAATACTGGAATTGACATGTTCGAACCGCAGCGCCTTTGGACATAAGCGAAGAATCTTTTTGGATTCTCTGAAGCTTCGTCCGCTAACCCTTGATCGAAATTGAGCCGAGCATTCCTTAGGTGTTGCTTAAACTTATTTCTAGCCTTACGGTACCTGTCATAAGTATCGATGGACGGAGCATCTCGGTAAGATCGCCAAATTTCTAGATCTCTTTGTGAGCAGACGCCTGCCAGTGGGCTCCATCCATGGTAGCTGTGCTCGTGCTTCCTTTCTCCTTGTGACTGGGATGAAGGGAGCATAGACCTTTGTGAGGTAGGACTTAAATTTATCCCAGGCAACCTCGACAGTATCGTCGTCTGAGATTGCACAATGCAAACCCGAAGCCTTGGCTCACATGGATTGATGGTCTGCGTGCCGTATGTTCGGGCGAGACTCAACAGTACTCTGGTAGCGTCTAGACTGAGTACAACTGAAGAGCAAACAAACATGATCACTGGAACCCAGTGGAGGGCCGTAAGTAATGTCACCAACAAAATCGAATGACTTAGCAAATACAAGGTCTAAGATAGACGGAACTTGGGCACCCATGTACCTAGCGGGGAGGTCATTGCACTGGTGCAAAGATACTTGGAGCTTAGGCTCAAGCAGATCAGCGCCGAATGGGCCTGACGCTGAGTCTCATGAAAGCTCTGCCCAGCAAATCTCTGGGAGGTTAAACTCGCCCAGCACCAAACAATTATTTGCAGACTGGGAACGAATGAATTCAAGTACTTCTTTGGACACGCTCTCAGGGCTTCTATACACAATTACAATTGTAACCTGAGCCGTGGATGTGCTAATAACAGCCGACGGAGCTTCAACAGTTTTGTCTGCCGACTGAAATAAGCAAATCTTCAAAACGAGAAGTTTACAGCTCACATAAAGAGCGATGCCCCCTCCCTGTCGGCCAGCAGAGCGATCGCACGTAAATAGTGCGTAGCCAGGTAGATGTACTTCACCATCCGTGATGTCCTGAGAAAGCCACGTTTCAGTGAATGCGAGTATATTAAGATGTGACCCATCTACAAGCAGACCTAACTCGTACACCTTATTCCTTAGGCTGCGCACATTACTTAGCACTATCCGAAGGTATTCGTTAGATCCAGCCCTGGGTCGTGCGCTACCAGAATGGGCAGCGGTAGGGCGGAAAATGACCGCCGGCCAACCACCCGGAAACCTACTGACAGGAGACCCTGTTCACCGGCCGCTCGCCTACTTTTGAGATCCTTGATGGCCTCCATGAGGTCCTTGATGGCGAGCTACAGCACGCAAAACGAAGAATGACGACCGGCTGGACAGTCACGAGCTAATACGAACAAAAGTAGAAGTTGTCTATTGGTTTATTAGATTGTAGAGAGCTCTGCCGCTTCCAATCCATTGTGGCAGAGCTGCGTGTCGTACTATGAGGAGGTTTCTCCAGCTCTTGTCGCAGTTGCAGGGGAACAGCATGACACCAATGTCCACAAAGGTCGTTGATTAGCAGGCGACTGGGAGGTTACCGTAGTGGACAAGAAGCAACTTTGCCTTGATGAATGAAAAGCGAATAGGACATTGTGAGCTAAGAGCAGTTAATGTGGAGAAACATGCCATGGTTTGCAACGCGGACTTAGGTTTATGTGTGTATGATGATAGTTTGAAGGCACTGTAAATTGCGTTGGCCGACTCAGTCGATGTCATGGCTGTCAACGATACCGCTGCTTTCTGCGCTGTCTTCATTCAGCATGTGTACCGCACTGTGGAGAAGTTCGAAAGTGACTTAAAGCGCTTTCAAACGTGTACTGCATCATGCTATTTTCAAATCAGATGTCCTGACATCAGAAACGCATAGGAGGAAAACCGGTAAAGAGTTGCCTAAGAGTGTGCGGTACAGTTCCGTACACTATGGTTGCGTTCATTGTCGCCGAAGGGGATACACATGCAAGCGGTAAGTTGGCATGTAATGTTTATGAAACGCTTATTAACCGTAGGTACAAAAGTTATGACTGCCAGGCGCAAATTGTCATACGGCATAACGGCTGGTGCTACCACATAGTATACTAGAGCGTTGAGCGCAACCATACGTTTCATGTATGAAAGCTGTTTCTCTATGTAACCAACAAACGGCTCCCGCGGCACGCGGAAGAGGACGTCTATCAAATGATGCAGTCGTTTAAGGACACACGCGAGCGCAGGAAGTAGGCGTTGACGCGCCACGGTAGCATATTGAACCGTTACGACCTCCGAGCCATAAGAGATAAGCGGAGGGAAAGGTGGAGGGAAACTCGGTAGAAGCAAAAATACAGTTGTATGGGAGCGTCTGTCAATGTAATGTGGAGTAGTAGAAACCGGAGATACGGTTCATAGTTGTCGTTCCCAGGTACGTACGCGATCTCGTGGAGCTTTATAGTGATGTAATGCTGGCGGATGCGACACACCAAGTGAACTGCGGTGGCTACATACTGTTGAGCTGCATGTTGATAGATGTGCTTGGTATTGGGGGCTCAATTTTCTAAGCGTTGCTTTCTAATGAGACAACCGCATCCTATGTGAAAGCGGTACGCAACATGCGTCTCATGTTACCAGCTACTAAGCCAGCAAGGATGGTGGTCATTGGTAAATGCATGGCCCAGGTCCATGCATTGCAAACAGTTTACCCTGTATGCGGATTGTATTGTGTCGTTTCTATTTACTGAGGGCTGTCACCAGTTGCTGCAATGGGTTATGCGCGGAAGGTGCAACGGACAGGTTGCTTATTCAGCAGGGGGTAGGCAACTTGGTGTACGCAAGGAGCTCCCGGTTTTT